TTTTCCCATTTACCAACCCAGGGGAAAAAACAACTTGTAAGAGCAATACAAAAATTTAGCTGTTTTGACCGAGGCTGACTGATTTTATGACCAAAGTCTTCCACAGCTTAAAAAGCTTTATTTTTTTTTTTTTGAGGGAGGGACTTTTGTATTTTAGTAACAGCACAGCATCTGTGCTCATGTAACAACCATTAAAAAAAACATTCACTAAAAAAACCCATCAAAATGATTACGTGCAATAGGAAATGGACAGTGGTGATGGTTGTACATGTTGAGTGTTATGTCATTTTATACATTTAAAAATTGTTAAAATAGTAAATGTGTAATATATACACTTTCCCACAGTAAGAAAACGTCTCCATGACCACTCTGATAATTTGGATGTTACGTTATTATCAGCACATTTACAAATACCCCATTTTCACTGACTTTAAAAAAGCAAAAGCAAGCTCAGGGCTACAGCATTTAGCGGTCATCATGTGGCAAACTACACTGCACAAAACAATGTCTTAAATTTTACAGCTAGAAAAAAAAAATTGAGCCGAAAGTTTTAACACCTGCAAACACGATGCATTCCTCAGCAGCCCCTTTATTTAGACAGCCAGTTAAGGATGGTTGGAAAGGGCAGTTAAAACGAGGCTTACATGTAGATAATTTTTAAAAGCCGGGACAATTCACAAGTCATAATACCCAGCACCAATTGCTATGGAAGGTTAACACAGACTGAGAGATCAATCGTAATAGTAGTATTTTATTCCCAACAAGTATCTTTGCTCTCAATCAGTTCGATGGAGGTTCCACATCATGCACGTATTCTCCCAACTGCTCAAAAGCAAATACTGCACAAGAGAATAGAGCCAATTCAGTCAGGGACTCTATTCCCCCTATAGTTAAGTGTTATCAGGATCCTGAAAATTAAAAACGGAATTAACTTAAATCACCAAACTAGTGCTTATTAAAAGATACTTAAATAACAACATGGTTAACTATTTGGCAAGGCTATTTGGAATCTCAAGGAATTTTTTTTTTTTTAAGTTTACTCTAAAGTACCTTGCCAGTAAAGCATCTTTTTAAACCCAAATTACCGAGATTTTAAATAAAGTACATCTATAACAATTCTTAAAAAAAATTACTAGATCAAAGGGCAAAAACTCATTACTTACCTCATAATTTTTTCCACTTACCCGATGTCCACTATTGATTATAAGCAAAGTTATTTTATAACCATGCTTTAAGGTCAAAGAAAATAACCATGTAGACCCCCTTCGCTTGAGACCTTATGCTTATCAATGTAATGATCAACCACGATTGCAAACAGAAATAAGAGAAGTGACAAAGTTCAAATACATAGCGACGTAGGCCTGAAACCGTTTTGTACATAGCAATACACGGGTTAAAGTACCGAGCCAGGCTATAACCAACAGTCACTTTTCTTTCACTCTGCACTGAACTTCTGGCTTGTCATTTATAAAGACCCAGTTAGATATTATTCTAAACATGAAAACAAAACCTGTAATTTAAACGGAATCCCTCAAAACAGTTAAGGATTCTGGAATGAATATTCCTCCCCAATTATCATCTCTTTCCTCATTGCCTCCCTCGTCAGTAGTCGGCACTAATCCAATAGCTTTAAGTTTCCTGCGATTAAACTGCTTTTTTAAAATTAGTGCAGACGCAGATAAAACCGTTATTCAAAGAAACTTAGGCCGGAAAACATAAAATGGCTTCTTCATAATATGGCTGGCCTTAAAACCGAGTCCAAGGCCCCAGGTTGTTATAGCTCCAACAAGCCCGGTGGAGCCTCCTCCTCCCCCCAACCCCCACTCCTGTGTCGTTTCTGAACGCAATGGCGCCATTTCATCGAGGCGAAGGGAGAGCGCCTTTAATGAGCTGCGCAGTAGTTTAAAGATTCACGCTCGCAAAACACTCGAAATCCACCTCGAAATGTGGAAACAGCCCGAGAAGGCAGAAAAGTAACTAACTAGATCTATTCTTCAATAAAAGAGTCATAGTAATGAGATTTTAAAGATTGTAAAGAAAAGCGCTACGAGGAAGGAGAGAAATGAAAATGGCGGCCGCCAAATCCGGTTCCCGGGAGAGAGGGGGAGGGGAAGCTTCAGACTCACGAGGCCTGAAGCCCTCTGGAAACTCTGAGACACCAAGTTCCTTGAGCCCCTAAATTGGCAAGCTTTAAAAAAATGAATGAGAATTCCCGCCTTCTGGCCCGACTTTCACTAAAGTGGAACTGCGTCCTCCATGTTAAAGTTCCCCATCCCCCAACCCAGTAAAAAGGAAATGGCGCCGGGAGACTGAGGGTGGAGAAGGTGTTCTAAAATAAGGCCTCCGCTAAGATCCCCCACAACCACATTACAAGAGCAACTGCTTCGGAAACGGTCCAACTTCACTGCCGCACTGCCTCGGAACCGGGCGCCCAACTTTTATTGAGCCGCCAACGGCCTGGCCATGCCCTCTCCAATAACTCATTGATTTCAAACCCGTTACCTCCATCGCGGACTCAGTCGCTTCAGCCCGATTTCCCGCAGCCGAGCGAGATGAGAGAGATCTCCGCGGACGAACACGAACCGGACTCGTCCTGGCGCTGTGGTGAGAACTGCCGCTGCTCGAGAAACAACACCGCTACGAGTACCTCCGCACGGGACCCGGCGCCGCTGCTACTGCCGCTAGAGCCGCTGCCGCCGCTTTTCTAGAACCTTCCCTCGGCCTAACGCGTCTTCCCTTACGTCAGGCCGTTGCGTAAACGCCCTAAACCGCCGCTAGTGGCGGGAACGCGCTACGCCCGCTTTACGCTAAGTACGTATCCCTCCCCCTTGTGGGTAGCGGTGGTGATTGACGTCACTTGCGTAAATGGGACTCAGTGAATTGCGGAAGGCTCGAGTCCTGCGTATTTCTCTTTGGGAATTGGGTCCAGCCCCCGCCTTAGCGCAGGGCGGGTGAGAAACGGTCGCGCAGTTTGAAATTGAAGCCATAGGGAGGAGCTTAATTCACTGCCTGGGGAAGTGAAACCTGCTGCAGCGCCTTAGATAATCCTGGCGGGCTCTCCCACCATAAGAATTTTGCTAGCTTTCTTGGTTTTCCCTCTACTTCCTTCCCCAGCAAAGGACTGACTCGGCCCCTTTCAGAAGCACCCAAAGCGATTTCTAGTCAGCAAGTTACTATTCACATTCCATTGAGCTAACCCTGGTCAGCGTCTTTGGGGCAGGCTTCTGGAATTCAGTAAAGGCTTAGGACGGTTCTCTAGGAGGGATACTCTTCTTAGCTCCCAATTCTCCCTCTAACCCCAAGTTCTCCTCCACCTCCCAGTTGTAGGAGGCACCCACTCCCAGGGGCTAGGAAGTGGGTGGAGTCGGTTTTGGCGCCAGCCGCCCTAGCTGCGAACCAAAAAACCCTCGGCTGAGAATACGCCGACCACCATCCGCACCCCTTTCATTCCTGCTCCCCTTCGGGGAACACAAGGCGCCACGCCGCGAACGGTAAGTACCGCAGTAGCGGTTGCCCTCCCACCTTCCCTCCCGCGGCCAGCGCTCCCGGCGGTCGCGGCCCCTCCCCTGTCGGGCGCGCGCGCCCGCCCGCCCCGCCCCTTGATGCCCAGCGTGGGCGGTGCCGGCCCCTTTCCTCCCCCTCCCCCCCGTGGCGGCGGCCCAGCGCGCAGCTCCCCAGCCTCCTCCTCCTCCTCGGATGTGGCTCGAGCTGGAGGCGCACAGGGCCGGAGACGCCGCAGACCCGGGACCCGGAGCAGCTCGGAGGCGGTGAAGTCGGTGTCTTTCTTTCTCTCAAGCTCTCACTGGGTGGTGGTGCTTAAGATACCAGAGGCGACCCAGGGAGTCCCCCACCCCAATTCCCCGCCCCCATATCCCACCTTTCCCCGCCGGACCCCGAGTCAGGATCTGGCGGGAAGGAGCGGAGAGGCAAGCGGAGGCCCAAGGCGATCCGAGATCAGGGCTGGCGCCTGTAGTTGAAGGGACGAGACTGTCCTCGAGAGGGTAAAGCTGTGGCGACAGCAGCTTTATTTCTAAACAAAGCGCATTTCCTCCCCCATCCCTGTTCTAGATGAGGGGCCCTCCCCCCGCCTGCCTCTCTGGGCCTGGTCGGCGAGTTTGGCCTCCTGGGAAGGCGGTGCATTTTCCCGCATTCGCGGGGCCTGGCGTTGCGCGCGGCCCGCTGTCCAGAGGCTGCAGAGAGTGCTCCGTTACGTGGCCGCCGCCGGGGTGCCGGACGCCGGGTCGGTGGCGCAGTGCCCTTGATACCCCATGCCGCGGCCTTTGTTTCTCCCCGCGGATACGCTGACCACGAGGCCCGCGCTCTCGGGTGGGGGGCGGGCGTTTAGACCTGATCACGCCCGAATTCATTCCGGAGGGGCCTGGGGCCAAGAGGGGATCGGGTGAATACATCAGTGGTGATGGTGTTTTTAAAAGTGTCATGAAATGGGACTGAGGCTTCTCGGTGTGTTTTCCCTGTAGGTTTTTTAACGAGTAATTGGAGAGAAGGGATGGTTTCTGAGAAGAAATCAAGTTGGGATTGTACAGGAAATTCTTTGGACTGTTAAGAGGTCTAGAGGAAAAATTTACTATAGTTTACAGGTGTGGTTGTTTGGGTAATTTTCTCTGATTTTGAGCAAGATGGTTTGGCTTTTTTTTTTTTTTTTTTTTTTAAGCTGAACATAGAATTTGTTGTAATTGGGATTTAGATTGGAAAAATAATCTATTTTTGGCACCATGTAATGCTCAGTCTCAGGTAGAAATGTCCCTCCCCTCCCTCACTTTGCTAGAACACTGATATACGATGAGGCATATATCACTAATTCACAGGAGTTCATGTCCTCTTTTCTATGGATGTCTATCCATGTTTGATATGTGCACTACCGACGTGGGGGTTGGATCCAAACAAAAACTTGTGTTTAGCTACCTTTTTTGTGTCATGCAAACTTCCTTTTAACTGTCATGCATTTTTCTAGTAATAGCTCTTCAAGTCTGCAATAAAAAATGGCCTCCAATAAAACTACATTGGTAAGTTAATGAAAACCTAAATACGTAAGGATCTAACTGAATGAAGCTTTTTCCCCAAAAATTATAACTTTGCATCTCTGTGGTTGAGAAATTTACATCCATATATTCCCCCACACAGTCCTGCCCTCCCCCTCCCCCCCCCTATTATTATGGGCAGAATTAGGAGCAGAAAATTAGATCGAGATACTTACTGACTTGACTTGGCTTAATAGTTTTACTTAATTTAAATAAACTTCTTGTCTAGTTCTCAATTTAGGACAGTACAGAACTAAAATACACAAAATATGACATGGGAGAATAGACGGTCAAAGCAGTAAGCCACTGTTTGGCATAATTAATCACTCTACCTGAATTCTGGAGAAACCAATTGTTTTCACTAATACCCAGTTTTAAGAACCAAAGATCTTGTACGTCTTGATTGGAGCAAAAGTTATTGAATCTTTCAAATTCCTTAGGTCACTTTGTCCTATTTGTCCTTACGCTAAAAAACATGAGGACCTTTACATTATTGCAATGTTTTGTGCAGCCCCCTTTTTTGATATACAAAATAATCAAATCACAGTGTTGTGCTTATGAGGGAAAGAATACTGGATATGCTGGGTCTTTTAAGAACAATTTTTTTCTTTTCCAGCCACAGACTCTTAAACCCAAAGTTTGCATACCTAGGCTAGGTTAAGAGTTCTACAAATGTATAAGGACATACAGATTCAGCCATGCCAAGTTATAAGTTAAAATAAAACAACACTGGAATAGACACATAAAAAATCACGAAATTCAAAGTTATGGTTCCCACAGTTTTTAATTCTAACACATTGCGTTAATAGTAATCATAAGCATGTAAAGGTGAGTGTTAACATCTAAATAAAGCAAAACATTTGGTTTTGGTTTGTGTATTCTCCCCTTGGCTTTCACAGTAAAAAGGGCAAATTGGTTATTTTTTAATTTGTGCCATCATTAGACTGCATGTGTAAGTACTCAGGGAAACAGATTGAAATATGAATTATAAGGCCTATGTGGGGAGTCTCTGGTGCAAATGATTTCCATATATAGTTCAAAATCATTGGAGAGCATCTTCTGTGCCCCTCGGGATGGAGCTGGCCTTCAAATTCCATAATCAGTCAACCAAAATGTAGCTAATAGAATTGACTTAACAGTCCTTTCTATCCTTTATCAAATAAGTATTGGATGGGAAAGTATGAGCTGTCCATGAGGCAGAAGGTATTGAGGATGAGGGTGAATATTGATACAGAAAACACACACATACATACATGCTCCCGTTTAAAATTGTTTTTGCACATAGTTTGATAGTCTTAGTGTTTGTAATTTATTGGTACATAAATACTTTATCCTTTTGTAAAGGATCTGGGATTGACCACTTCTGATGTGTGTGTTGGTTTTTTTGTTTTTTGTTTTGTTTTGTTTTGTTTTGTTTTTAGTTTTATTAGATATGTGTGCTATACTTGAAATAGGAAACTGAGTTTTATGTAGTGGGAAATATATGTTTATTTATTTATCTTGGTATGGATCCCTTTTCATTTTCTGTAATTTGGAGGGGGGTCATCCTCTTATTCTGTTAACCTCTTATCTTCATGGACAGTAACTATTTTTTTATTTAGAGTCAGTGTCTAATAAGCTTTTGTCTATTCCAGTTTCTCTTTGCTCTTTCCACTGCCATTCTTACCTTCCTTGTACTACAAACACATTGAGTTATTTGACTGGGCTCAGTACCCAAGGCTCTTGACTAATGAGAATTTTAAGGCTGGACTTAGAGATTATATCCAACAAAATCAGATGTTTGCTACATTTTTAAAAAACATTTTATTGTGTGTGTGTGTGTACACTTCATATGCCTGCGTACCTTTAAACTTCCTTTTGCAATCTTAAAACTATGTTTTCTGCATGCATGCTCTATCTGTGGATTTGTGGGATGGCTCTAGTGACTGGGGAAGTTTTTTGTTTGTTTGTTTGTTTTTAATGGCACCTGTTTAAAGAAGAAATGATTTTTAAATGACTATAACATGATTTTTTTTTAAATCTATTCTCATTAAAAATTTTATTTCCATTTTTTGAAAATTTGCCCAGTCCCCATTCTCCCATAACAAATCTGCCTGTGTTACTGGAAAAGAATTGGTTGAATTTGCTGTCCTATTTCATTTAAATAGTGTTACACCATCCTTCCCACCCCCCCAAAAAAAAAAAAACTCTTTAAAGTGAATTTGCAAGGAGAAAAGAATTTTTTGCCTTAGGAAACAAAAATGATAAACATTTTGATCTCTTGAAATGACAGCATTAGAGGTTTCTCCAACTGATCAAAGAATTTTATCTGCAGAGATTATGGGAAAATAACCTTGTCCTTTTTAACCTATTCACGGTCTCTATGCTTGACCTTGCAAGTAATAATCAGAATTCTGGAAAGAGCTTTTAAGTATTAAGGCTGTTACGTTTTATTTTATAAGGGTTTTTTTCACCATGTTTTCATTCTGCAGTTATCTTTTCTCTATGTTGTTGGGGCTATCTTGACATTGGTGTTTCAATGTAGCTTGAATTAAGAAAAAGGAATCTTACTGCTGTTGTGGGCTATATAGTTTTAACAGGTCTGTGGCTCACTTAAAATTACATGTGCCACTGGTACTTACTTTCTTCATAATACTTTTTAATTATTTCTTGCTGGGTTGCCGTTAAAATGAGTTGAAAACTCTAGTAACTTGGTCTTGCAGACTACATAGATATAAGCAGGGAAAAGATAACCATAATTTTCCAGTTACTATATTTGAGTATGTCTTTTGGTGAAGGATGGTGGATGTTAGGTTTGGGCTAAACTAATGGAATTAAGCATTTCCTTTATATTGTTACCTAACTTCATCTTTTCAGAAGGTGTCTGCCCTGGGATATATAAGTAAAAATTTATGTTTTGAATGCAACAACAATATAAGCAATTTAGCCTTGAAAATGTACTCAGAATTCAAAAAGAGTATGTTTCTTAAATTTTCTTTTTGTTTTGTTTTAGCAAAAAATGGGAAAGAAACAGAATGGAAAGAGTAAAAAAGTTGAAGAGGCAGAACCTGAAGAATTTGTGGTGGAAAAAGTGCTGGACCGACGTGTGGTGAATGGGAAGGTGGAGTATTTCCTGAAGTGGAAGGGATTTACAGAGTAAGAAACTTTAGTGTTTTTATTATATGTTTGACTGGACTTTGGAATTTGAGGAGCCTTGGTGGTACAAGCACTCAGCTTTTAACCAGAAAGTTCATGGTTCAAACCCACCAGCTGTTCCACGGGAGAAAGATGTATCAGTCTGTTTCCATAAAGATTTGGAAGCCTTGGAAATCAATGGGGCAGGTCTACTCTGTTGAATAGGGTCACTAATTTGTGTTTAGCCTGGGTTCTTTCACAGTTTTCCCTTGTTGTTGTTGTTGTTATGTGCCATCGAGTCGAACCCGACTCATAGCGACCCCTCCTTGGGTTTCCGAGGCAGTATCACTACGGAAGTAGGATTGCCCAACCTTCCTTCCGAGGAGTGGCTGTTGGGTTTGAACCACCAGCCTTCTGGTTAGCAGTCAAGTGCCTTAGCCACTATGCTACCAGAGCTCCCCAGTTTTCCCTTACGTTTATTAAAATGCAAAGACACTAATTCCAGGGTATCTTAACTTGATATTTATTTAAAAAGAACCAAGTGCTTATTAGCCTGTGTTTGGAACCAAGCAGTTTTGAGACTAGTTTATTGCTTTTAAGAGTCAGATAGATAAAATTATAGAATTCAGCTTACTTATGTAAGTTATCTTAATGTAGACATAATACTAATTTAAATACTTAATCTACATTGTTTTTCTACGTAACCATTCACTGGTTGAGTCGATTCTGTCTCATGGTGACCCTATAGGACAAAGTAGGACTGTCTCATATGGTTTCCAAGGCTATAAATCTTCATGGAAGCAGACTGCCACATCTTTTCTTCTGTGGAGCAGCTGATGGACTCATACCACCAACCTTTCTGTTAATAGTTGAGTGCTTTAACCAGTTGGTCACCAGGAATCCTTTTTCTACATACAGAGGGCACTGAGAAACATTGAAATTATGCAATGTAGACTAGTGATTCTTAAACAGAAGGGCTCATCATATTCCAGGTCATATACTAGGCTCACTATATCTGATTCTCTAAGATGGGGCCTGGGCATTTTAACTCCCTGCTGTATTGTGTTCCTTATTACAACCACTCTTTATAATGTTAACTGCCTTGTGAATAACTAAAGTGCAGAAATGTGTTTATTATGTACTGTTACACTTGTATTCTTACACCGCAAAAGTGGAGACTACAGTCTCAACTCTTTCATTCTCCTCTACCCACTAATTTACCAGTTGCCATCAAATCATTTCCATCTTATGGTGACCCCATGTGTGTCAGAGTAGAACTGTACTCCATACGGTTTTCAATAGCTGGTTTTTTTCAGAAGAAAATGAGCCAGACCTTTCTTCCAAGGCACCTTTGGGAATGGACTCGAACCTCCAACTTCTGGTTAGCAGACAAAACCTTTAACCATTTGTACCACCCAGAGACTCCACCCGCTAATTTAGGTTTGTCAGTTTTGGGGTTTCAGGAGACCAATACCTCCCAGACTGAGTTGTAAGTGCCAGGTGATAATAAACCTACATAATTAATTTTTTCTCTCCAGCCCTTCTGAAAAACACTTGGAAATGGTCACCTTGTCATGGTCACCTTGTCCTACTTTATATTAGGAGACAGGAAACATTTTCCCTAAAGGATCATATAGTAAATATTTTAGGCTTTTTGTGGGTTAAAGGTCTCTCTTGTAACTATGCATCAGCATGGATATAGTGCAAAAGCAGATGTAGATAATCCAGGAGAAAAAAATTCTTAGAATATAAAAAATTTGTTAAATCAGTGCACTGATTGTGTTCCAGTGAAACTTTGTGGACACTGAAATTAGAATTTCATGTAATTTTACATTTGAATTTTTTTCTAACCATTTAAAACTTAAAAAAAAAATCAATTTGAGCACCCAGCAGAGACTGAAAGCTTCTCAAATTTGAGAAGGCCCAAGATCATGTTTTAAAATACAGTATTGGAGGTCCCCAGCCCGAAGGATAATTTGGTAATTTGTGCTAGAAAAGGGAATCTGCATTTTAACAAGCAGTCACAGAGAAGCTCAAGGTGAGTTGTCTGCAGAGCTTCAATTATTCTTTGGCTCTGTTGATTTCTAAGTAATACAGCAGACTGCCCACTTAGTAGAAATGAAGCTAGCAGTCTGAAAAGAAAACATAAATTCTCTCAAAAAATACAGGCGATGGGGAAGAAGTGATTAGCATCTGGAGTACAGATAACTTTTTTCAGTGATATAAAGTTGATTCCATGATGGTGACCCCACATTTAATAGAATTGACTTTTTTTCCCCCCCCCCAACTGAATACAGTGCTGACAATACTTGGGAACCTGAAGAAAATTTAGATTGTCCAGAATTAATTGAAGCATTTTTAATTCTCAAAAAGCTGGTAAAGAAAAAGATGGCACAAAAAGAAAATCTTTATCTGACAGTGAATCTGACGACAGCAAATCAAAGAAGAAAAGAGATGCTGTAAGTATAAAACATTGCCCACCAAATTGACTTTTTATAAAAGGTAATGGCTTGATTTTCAGGTATTCTTGATGCTTATAAACCTCATATATTTAAAATACCGTTAAAAGTCTTTTTTGTAATACTTAATATTTAGGACAAAAAGGAGAGACATGGTTTAACTTACACTCTGTAAATGTGCTGCTGCTGATATTGGTGGCCATGGAGTCTGTTCCAACTCATAGCGACTCCATGTGTGCAGAGTAAAACTGCTGTGTGGTTTTCAAGACTGTGACCTTTCAGAAGCACATCACCATCCTCTCTGTCTACTGAGTTGCCTCTGAGTCCAGGGTTCGAACTTTCCAACCAGTAGTTGAGCACTTAACCTTTTGTGCTACCCAGTAAATGCAGTTAAGGTGATGTGCTACTGTTATTTTGGTTGATTCATGGATCTGATCCTTGATCAGAGAAGTTTGTTATGACCCAAGGCCAGTAGTCTCAAATACAAACAACGGTAATAGTAGATCATTGAAATCCCTACAGAGTAAACAATCTATATAGCACATCTTGATTGCAGACCGTTAGTGACATTGACTACCAGAAAGTACTTTGACATTATCTTTGTACTGCCAAACAATACTTTGTTTTTAAAGTATATAATCTTTGAAAAAATTGTTGCCTTTCCGTGACGTGTGAGATACTTGGTTCATTCACTACGTGTGTTTTGGTCCATTCTTTGCCTTATTAATGTCTCTGGCTTTGGGAAAATGGGGTAATTCTTTACTTCTATCCTCAAATCTAAAACAGAGATAATACTTGCCCTTCTTGTTGACCTGGCATGGCAGTTTGAGAAAAGGCCTTACTACAGTATGTTTTTACACTTGGGACTAAACGTAAGAGATAAACTGGCTGATAAAAACTTTGGATTTGAAATTCGGATATTTGAACTAGATGCCAAGTGCTTTATATTTATAGATAGTCCATTAAATCGTCATGACAGAGCTGTTAGGGTTGTAGATAACCCCATTTTATAGATGAGAATATTAGAGGGCAGCCACAAATTTGATCCTGGATGCTTCAGCAATCAAAACAAAAAGGTAATGTCCAAAAAAGAGTATAAATCACATGCACAGTAGAAGCATGGCTTCAGTAACAAACCCAAATCTACTGCCATCAAGTCAGTTGCAACTCATAGCAACCCTATGGGACAGAATAGAACTGCCCTAAAGAGTTTCCAAGTTTATAAATCGTTGCAGAAGCAGACTGCCTCATCTTTCTCCTGCAGAGCAGGTATTGGGTTCAAACTGCCGACCTTTTGGTTAGCAGCCCAGTGCTTCTAACTATAGTGTCACCAGATGTTCTTTTTCAAATAGTAGTTATGTATCTTGAGCCCTTACGATGTGCCAGTGTTCTAAATAACATATTTTGCATTTCATAACTATAATTATTCCTGTTTTATAGATAATGAGCCTGAACCACAAAGCAGTTAAGTAACTTGCCCAAAGTCACACACCTAATAAGGGTTAGAGCCATCATTCTAATCCTTGTGGTCTGACTTCAGAACCTAGGGCATTGTTGGTAAACACTGTGAGAAGAAAGGATTTATTGGTAGCGACAGTATAATTCTAGAAAATTACTGAAGAAGTTAAAAAACAAATTTCTAAAATATTTGTATGTTGACTCAATTAAAAATAACAATTAAAAAACCTTTTACATGTTAAGAAATTGTGTTTTTCATGAGGAATAACTTTTCCAAAATAAAAAATTTACTGAGGAGCATGGTGGTGGTTTACATTTTTGCAGGTCCACTGTTTGGCTTAATAGAAGATAGCTCTACTTCTGCATTTGATTTGTTGTGTATGTTGTTTTGATTGAAATCAGAGAAAACAGTCTAGTCATGCAGATGCATAGTTGGAAAAGAGGGGACCTTGCAAGACTCTCTGAAAGGTCTCAGGGATCCTTATATATTTGAGAGCCATTGATTTTTACTAAAACTATGTTTCAGATTGACTATGGTACTGATTAGTCTGAGTTTAAAGTTTTTACTATTTTGCTGTTTGTATGTTGTGTATACTTTAATAATATGTAGGCTATTTACACTAATTTTTAGAAGTTACTTAATTATCAGAAATATGTGGTATCATGAGAAAAATTTTTGTATCATGAAAATAACCTGGAAGTTAATATTCTTAGTTTGCTGTATGGAAACATTTTATGTCAATAATTATTTAACTTTTAAACAGGCTGACAAACCAAGAGGCTTTGCCAGAGGTCTTGATCCGGAACGAATAATTGGTGCCACAGACAGCAGTGGAGAATTGATGTTTCTTATGAAATGGTAACTGATTGCTGTTATATTTTAAAGTAAAAGTAGATAGTGCTTTTTTAAGTATGTGAAGCCTTATCTAGGAAAAGTTGCATATAACTGTTGAAAGGATAGTAATAGTTACTAATGAATGAATGGGTCAGCAAACTATGGGCTGTCTTTGAAACATTTATCAGAACACTGCCATAACTGCTATATAGCCCTCCTGAAGCACTTAAAATACTTCTAATTGCTTTTTATTTGTTTGAATTATTCTTTCTTAAATGAGCAGTCCTAAATTGACAGAAACAGTTGAGACTTGAAATTGAATTATTTTTTTTTCCTCATAACAGGAAAGATTCAGATGAGGCTGACTTGGTGCTGGCAAAAGAGGCAAATATGAAATGCCCTCAAATTGTAATTGCATTTTATGAAGAGAGACTAACTTGGCATTCTTGTCCAGAAGATGAAGCTCAGTAATTGTTTGCATTGTTTTTTATATATATTTATATATATATAAAATCTGGGTCTTGGTTTTTTTTGTTTTGTTTTGTTTTTGATTTATTAGTGTGAAGAATAACTACATGCTAATGAAAATCAAGTTTGATATGTTTTGAAGTAGTATTGGGGGAGTTATTGGGGGTTTTGGGTTTTTTTGTTGTTGTTGTTGTATCAATAGCACTGGTTACGTTGAACAAATAAATAAAAGCTTTCTAGTTGCTTCATTTATCAGAGGAGAATATTTGATAACATGGTATGTTATTTCCTCTGCATTAGAGAGTAGCTTTTCTAAATATTTGGAAAATTTACATCATCATTATTAAATCAGAACTTGTGTTTAATCCATAATGTATGCCTAAGGACCATTCTAGGGTTTTCGTTTCTTTGTTTTTATGTGTATGTATACATAAATACATATGTAAATTCTATCTTATTTTATTTCACATTCAACAAAAACAAAACTGTTCTAAACAAAAATGACATTTCACAACCATGGATAAGTGTTGTTTCAGGATGCTGTCTTTCTGAGCAACTCAAAAAATAGGTAACCCCAAGTTAATTGGAAAAAAAAGTTTTGAATCCCTAAGCTTTCAAATCAAATAAATGATCCAGTAATTAATTGGACGGTTTAAAATATCCCACAAAACCATTTATTTTTCTCAACTCAAATAAGAAAACTAGACAGATACTGTATGTTTTAATAAGCCAAAAAAGGCTTAGTTAAGTGGGCATTTGTTCTTTTGAAGAGCCATTCCTTTATGGAAAGTTGAAATCCCTGTACTATATTGACCAAAAGGTCATGATTCATGGAATATCCAGACTTTGCTGATGAAAACCCAGTGAGGTAGAGATGTTGCGGTTTAGGACCTGCTGACGTAAATGGGTGGACAAACTGGTAAATCTAAACTATTGACCTGCATGGTTTTTATGTTTGTTTGTTTTTTCACCCCCAACCTATTTCTTACATGTAGGTTCAGTCTTCTCAGTATTTGGCTTACTGGTTCAGCTGAAGCCAGGAAAAATAACTTTGTAGTAATCAGAATGTTAATCCAATTGTATATTGTTTACTTTATTGTAAATACTGGTGAACAGTGGCCAATAAATAGTTTTATATTCCTTTATATAGTTACATTCTTTTTTCACTGTGTCGGATTGCCTTTACACTGGTGTAATAAACACTTAACACACATATACAAATCCACATTGGATTCTCTTCACGTTCGTAAATCAAATGATGAAACTGAGGCATTAGAGAACACAGCCTGGATCCTTGGACCTTAAGAGTTGTAAATTTGACTAAAATGTGTTTTTCCACAGAAATTTTTTTTATAAGAGGGAGATTGTGGGGAAATAAAAATTATTTTCATGTGATCCCTAATAGAAATTTCCCTCATTTAAGTGAGATTTTGATATATTGATTCTAGTTTGCTAACTACATTCTATGAAACACTGTAGTATGAGTATTGTGATAGAACTGATACTGCTGTGGTGATAGAAACATTGCTGATTTCCAAAATCTATATAGAAAAAGGGAGCTCATTCTGTCTGTGCTAAACTGTTTATTCCTTAGAGACCTAGCACTGCTCTTACATTAAGAGCATTGCTGGGAGCAGTTTGTTGTTCGTGTATTACTTTATCATGCCCTAGGTGTATCCCTATCCTAGTACTGCTGTGACAGAGTAATCACAAACTTAATGGCTTATAACGACATGAATTACTTTTGAAGTTCAGAGGTACAAAATCACTCATCATGGCTAACGTCGAGGTGTCAGCAGGGATGGATCCTTGTAGAGGCTCTAACAGCAGAATCTGTTTCTTTGCTTTCTCCCGCCTCCCCCCTTCTAGAGGCTATCTACATTCTTTGGCTCCTGCCTTCCATATTGAAAATCTAAAACATAGCATCTTCTAATCTCGATATCTACTACCTCCCTTTCTCACCCAACTCTGCTTCCAGCATCACATCTTCCCTGATGTTCTAGCCTCCATCCTGTAAGGATCTTTGTAATTATGTTGTGCTGACCCTAATAAAGCAAGGTGTCGGTTTAGGAATCCTAGAGATGCCCTAACAAAATACAACAAAGTAGGCAGCTTTAAAAAACTTCTCAGTTGAGGCTAAAAGTCCAAGACAGGGTCTCAGCCATATCTATTCTGAGTGCTTCCTAGTTTCTCGTGACTGCTGGCAGTCTTTGGTGTTCCTCACATGCTTGTCTGTCTCTTCTCTTTTATAAACCACTATTCAGAAGGGAGTAGGTTTAAGACCACTGCCTTAGTTTTCTAGTGCTGCTCTGACAAATGTGGTTAGCTTTTGCAAATTTATTCTCATAGTTTCAAACCAAACCAAACTCATGCCATCGAGTTGAATCTGACTCAGCGACCCCTCCTTGGGTTTCTGAGGTGGTATTGCTATAGAAGTAGAATGCAGTCTTCCTCCTGAGGAGTGGCTGGTGGGTTTGAACTATCAGCCTTCTGGTGAGCAGTTAGGAGGTTAAAAGTCTGGAAAAAAAAAAAGCTGAAAAGTGCCAGCTCTAAGGGAAGACTAGGCTAGAAGCTGAGGAGGGTGCCAGCTTTAGGGCCTGGATGAAGGCCATTCAAGCTTGGACTTAGCTCTGCCTTACAGGCCCACTGGAGCAAACTGGAAGCTCCTGACTCATGCAGCTGCTGGCTGCTGAGACTGGCAAATCCAAGATCAGCAAGTAAAATGGCAGATTGGTTGCTCACAGGCTGTGAAGGCAATGGTGGAATACTATGCAACACTAAAGAATAATGTAGAATCTGCAAAACACATAACGTGGATGAACTTGGAGGACATTATGCTGAGTGAAATAAGTCAATCTCAGAAGGACAAATATTGTATTAGTCCGTTATTGTAAGAATTAAGGAAAGGTTTATCTATTGAAGGGAATTTTCTTTGTTGGTTACCAGGGGTGGGAGGGGAGGGGAGGGAACACAGATAGATATAGATAAATATTGATTTGGGTGAAGAGAAGGGCAGTGTACCAAATGTGATTGACCAATATGGCAGCATTGAGGATGAGAAAGACATAGAGAAGTACATGGGAGGCACAGGCAACAAATATGAACCCTTTTGCATATACAGTACTGAGTTGTCAGTGAA